TTGTCTTGCAGAAATCTATCATTCGTTCTCCAGCATCATTTCTATCACCAAGTCCAAATTTTCCAACTACTGGTCCCTCCTCTTTGCTACCTGACTACAGGAAGATAAAAAGAAAAAAAACCAATTTCTGAAAAAGGAATCAAGGATAAATTGCTACAAATTTGATGAACTTGACCTATACTTATGGAGGTAGTAACTCTAAATACCAACTGACAGTGAAGGAGTCTTCATATCAAGTATCAATGCTATCCCCTCTGTACACAGGGTAGATAGGGATGGGCAACTCAGACACTGGTTACCTAAAATGAAGGGGACGATAAAGGCATGAAGTGACTAGCTTGCAAGGTTTCAAAGGGGAAATTAGTTTAATAGTGTGTGTGTGGGGGGGGGGAAAGTCCCTACCGAATAGTTTTCATCTTGTCTAGGTAGATCTGGTTCAAAGAGACGGGGATAAGATTCTTATGATTCAATAGTAATTGTTTCCATGACTAATTGTGACTGTCACAACTGTAAAGGTAAAAGTTTTGTAACAAAAACGGGGGAGTAGTTAATCTGACAGTACAGAAACAGAGGAACCCTAGGACAATTAAGGGACAAGAGCACAAGTGGAATGCGAGACCTCATCCAGAGAAGCAGCGATACCAGGGATGGAGGTAGAGAGAGGGAGCAGCTGAGGACTCTAGATTCATGGGAAAGGAGGCCCTAAGAGACGGCGGCCAGGAGGCAGACTTGCAAAATGTGCCCTTTGATGGTGTAAATTATTGTATATGCCCAAGTGTTTTTTTAAATAAATAAAGAGCTAAAGTGAATAGAGAAATACTGTTAACTGATGGTACATGGAGGGGATTGTAATCATTGTAATAAAACAAGGTCTATAATTTGTTCAATGTAAAACTGATGATCTGCCCTGTAAACTTTCACTCAATCCACAATAAAACTCGTTTTTTTAAAAAAGAAGGCTCACTGTTTACAAACTATGTGGTAAGGGGGCTGGATCGATGGTCTGTATGTGTCTGTTCAAAGACACCTAACAATCCATTTTACTAAAATTTCACTCAAATTAAATTCCTTTTACTCAAAACATCAAGGAGCTCTGGTAGCACTGTGGTTACAAATAGGGCTGCTAATCTCATGGTCAGTAGTTCAAAACTACCAGTGGTTCCGCAGGAGAAAGATGGGTCGATTCCACGGCACATCACCACCACTGCTCAAAACATCAAAAAATGGAAATGATAGAAAAATACACTTTCAGGCAGCCAATGTATATGTTTGTACAGATGTCTGTATTTAGCACAGTTCTCATGACTACTTGCTTCGCAAATATCTCAAATATGCTTGGTCCAACACTTTTTAACAATGTTATAACATCTCTTACCAAAAAATATTCAAGATACAATGTTCCTATTTTTCACTTTTTCCACTGATACATTTACTAGTTACATGTAAAGGAACCCTGGTAGTGCTGTAGAATAAGTAATTGGACTGCTAACCAGAGGTGAAAAGTTCAAACTCCCCAAGGGCTCCGATGAGGAGGAGGCTTTTTGTTCCCATAAAAATTTACAACCTTAGAAACCCTACCCAGGATTGCTGTGAGTTGGATTAGACTGGATGACAGAGAAAGACTTGAGTTATAATATAATTAAATTACTGACACTGAAATGCTAAACACTTTCCCTCAAATATAAATCAAACTTTCCTCAGTGTATAAATTTTATACTGGAAATGCAGTCTTCAACATAATTAAAAAAAAAAAAAAACCTGGCAGCTTACTAGATATTTTTAAAATACACCCCGAAAAAGTAATCTCAAGATACATCTGTGCCATTGGAGTCCTGGTGCAGTGCTGAAGGATAAGCACTGGACTGCAAACCACAAGGTCACCGGTTCAAACCCACCAGCCACTCCTTGAAAACCCTGTACATGGCTGCTATAAATTGGAACTGAACAACAACAACAACAATGAATAATTTGTTCTTTCAGCAAATGCCACTCTTTAAAATAAACCGAATGACATATTTTCATTAGAGACTAACTTAACGCCTTTGCATGATGTTGGGAAATTCAGAGACCATCAACATTTTAGAAAGCATGCTATGCTTAGAGTGATCTGGGTGTGGTCAGTTGTCACTGTTGAGCATACAAAACATACAGAAAAACTAGTTCTGCAAATGCATCATTCACTTTTGATGTCACCCAAAAAATAAACAGCAAAAACTCTGATTAGACTTCATGTGAATAATGGCACTATTTTGTATGATAAATCACAAGGGAGTTTCCAATGCTTGCTAACTATAGTTGTCTTGGCATTTGCACATACATATACTTGTAGTTGTTGGTGTTAAAAGTTTTTCGAGGAGGGCTGGTGGGTTTGAACTGTCTATCTTGAGGTTAGCAGTCCAGTGCTTATTCTATTGCACCACACTAGGACTATATACCCTTGTTGTTGTTGTGTGCTGTCGAGTTGGTATCGACTTGTTGTGTACCGACTCATAGCAACCCTGTATAAAATTTCCAAGGAGCATCTGGTAAGCTTAAACTGCCAACTTTGCAGTTCAAACCGACTTTGCAGTCCAGCACATTAGCCCACAACGCCACACCAGGACTCCTTACATGTTCCCAAATCACAAAACCAGAGAATTCCAACACAGCATATAATTCCACCCAAAGATTCAGGGTCGGCTTTAGATTAAGACAATCAAATCGCACTTGTTTATAAATGGAGGGTTCATTTAGTACTAGATCAAAGTCGCCACTAAATCAGTCAATCCCTTGTTTAACTTAAATAGCTTTAATTGATTCTTCTTTTTCATGGTTGAAACCATCACCTAGACTTCTTAAGTACTAAGACTTTCTTTTCAGAACTTTTATCACAAGGAGGAAAAAAGCTTTAGAGAAGATTAAAGCTTTGTAGAGATGTAAGGACTAGGTGACCAGCTAGTTTAATTCACTAGTTAAAAGACCTCCTCCTGCAAGTGTTGAGATCAAACCTATGTGTATATATAGCAGCAAAAGAAAAATTACTGTCATGAATTATGAGAATCCATCCTAAATATTATTACTGTCTTCTGTATTTTACTTACGAGAGTTGACATCACAGCACATATATTTTTAAAAAAAAAAAGGAAGCTACATATGGATGTGATTTTATTGAACTAACACAATATTATACTTTTATTCTTCTGTACGGAGTCCTGGTGTGGCGCTGCGGGCTAATGCATCACATGGCAAAGTCGTTTGGACTGCAATGTCAGTGGTTCAAGCTCACCAGTTGCTCCTTGGAAACCCTATACAGGGTTGCTATGGGTCAGAATCGACTCAACGGCACTTAACAACAGTAACAATTTTTCTCTACTGACAATGAACAAATGTTCTCGATTCAGAATTTCAGTTTCCAAATTTACAGTCAAAAAGAGTTTGAACAAAAGCAGGCTTCATCTGTTTGCAGACAGACAGGCACCCTGCAACGCTGCTACCATCTGCCTGGGACAAGTGAACAACAGTTAAGGAAAACCCAATGACTGCTCTACACAAGCAGGAATCCTCCCTAGACCAATGTCTGTTGTTGTTCCTAAGTGCCGTCGAGTAGATTCCAACTCATAGCGACCCTGTATAGGGTTTCCAAAGAATGGCTGGTAGGTTTGAACCACCAAAGCCTGCTTATCTTATAACACCACACCAGGACTCCAAAAACTCCCACACTTTGCTTTACACGAAGTCAGTTTCAAGTGGTCTATCTGATAAACTAAGGATCTTTCTAAAACACATCTTCTGATGATAAAATAACCCAAGCAGTACTAAAATTTCACCCTCTACACCTTTGGGTTTTTAATACTATAAACATGGAAGAACATAATATTTTAACAAAGAACAGTTCTACATGGTGTACACTAGAGGTACTATTTTCTTGCACATATCTCCTAATACCCAAGATAACTAAATATTCAGAAGCCACTTACTGCTACACCAGCATGATAACTTGTTCCACATGCAATAAGAATCAAACGCCGACACCTCTGGATCTCCTTAATGTGATCCTTCAAACCGCCCAAATTCACTGAAATCAAAGTTTGAATATATCATTAGGAAAAAAACATGAATTTGGAAATGACTTTCCATGAGCACTCACTCACTACCAATCTAGGAAACAATACTGCCATTATAAAGAATTTATATTCTTCTTAGTAAGAGTACTCGACAACATTAGCTCTAAAGCCACAATGAGTTGTTTAGGGAACAGTAAATCCTTGGAATGGAGTGAAAGAATTTGAGACGAGATGGTTAGAGATAGTGAGGATGAAGACTGTTAACAACTGAAGAATGTAATGAACATCACCTAAACTGCTCATGTGAAAACTGCTGAATGAGTGGAATTTTTGTTTTGTATATATTTGCACACACACATAAAGAATAGCTCTTCCTAGAAATTTTGAAAAACAAATATGACACAAACAATTGCCCCTAGTCCTGGTGTGGCGCTGTGTGTTAATGCACTGGTCTGCAAAGTCGGGTTGAACCTCAAGGTCGGTAGTTCAAGCTCACCAGTCGCTCCTCGGAAACCCTACATAGGGTCGCTATGGGTTGGAACCAACTTGACAGCACTCAAGAACAACCTTATAACTGACCTTACTCACCCCACTACAGGCCACACAGTGAAAAATTTATTGCATCTGACTTTATTTAGTCATTTTCCATAGCTGGGGTTGGGAGACAACAAAGAGGCACAAGGAAATTTCTGGAACTGTTCCATATATCTGGATTGTTCTGAAAGTTAGGATTAGGATTATGCTGTCGTTTGTCTTTGAGGTAAATACTATACTACACAGGATAAATTTTATTGTATATGAAATATAATTTCAATAAACCTAGCCAGCAAAAATTATTTTAGCTAGCTTCATTTTCTGTATGATAACAAGATCAGCTTATAATACAAGGAGACTTCCAAATGTCCATGTAAAAAAATGGAAGAAGAAATAATGGAATTTTTCCATGGATGTTTTGAAGTCCTGTTGCATCTGCTCATTCTTCTCTGTTTTTCCTATCTTGGTAAATGCCATTACCATTTACCCTAATGCTCCAGTCAAAAACAGACTGGGTTACTGGTCAGAAAAAGATTTGAGATACCCAAGATTATAACCTTTGGCCACCCTTCAGGTCTGGAAAAGAACTCATCACCACCCAATTCTCAGCCAAGCAGCGGTGGTGATGGTGTGCTGTAGAGTCGGTTCCAACTCATAGTGACCCCGTATAGGGTTTCCAAGGCTGTAAATCTTTCCGGGAGCAGAAAGCCTCATCTTCCTCCCACAGAACAGCTGGTAGTTTTGAACTGCTGGCCTTGAGGTTAGCAGCCTGACTTGTAACCACTATGCTTGTAAAGCAGTACATACAGACAGGCAACAACACTAGTAAGGAATGCTCAGCATGGAACTGTCAGTCATTCAAGATCAAAGGGCAACACTTACCTAAGGACAAAGTTGAGAAGGGCTGGGAAGGAGGGTGGAATGGAAAGAGGAACCATAGGGAGGGAAGCAGGATAACTGTTGTTATAGGGAGGGGACTGCAACAATCATTGAGATGAAATAAAGTGTACGTTTGTTGAATGTAAAACTGATGATCTTGTCTGTATGCCTTCACTCAATTCACAATTAAAAATTTAAAAAAAAAAATGAATTCCTAACTGAGAAGCTTAGCCTAAAGCTTGTTTGTTTCTTAAACTGTTCATTAAACCACTTATGGAAAGCAGTTTACCAAAAAAAAGGCAATAAATCATTTAGGAATATTTTATAATTTAAGACTATCAATCTTAGACCCATAACAAAAATATGCACGAATTGTCACAACCCAGGGTCAAGACAGCATTTCAGAAACAAGACTAGTACTGCACTTTCATCCCTACCTTTAAAATGAGGGCAGAGGCAAAAACCTAAAAGATCTCTGGAGAAGTTCACATCTTTACTCATTTATAAACTGAGAGCACCTAAACTGAATGGATACGTATTAAGCTTCCTAACTCAGGGAAGACCAAATTTCATTCTTGCTACAATTCACAGTACTAACATAGTCCTTGGTGCACATAGGTCAAATAAATTTCTGTAGAACTGAAAAGAAGTTTTCAATGAATAGATGACTAAGCTCCACTGATGATTCACAGCTGTACTTGTTCTACAGACCAATAAAGGACAATGAACTTTCAGATTTTCTAAACGGCAACCCCACAAGAGACTCTGTACTAATAAAATAATTCACATGCAATTACCAGTATAGTCATCAAAGTTGACTCTTCCTCTCATTGTATTCACAACTGACTCTGGCTGCTCAAAAATTTCCTTCTGCATAAAAGAACTGAAGTTGCCTGAAATAATATCAATATGTCATTACATGAAAAAAAAACCAGAGTAAGAAAAACAATCTGTATATAACTAAAAGTCTATTTCTTTTAATCTTAGTAAATATTGCATAAAGGATTAGCTAAATGTGAAGAGAAATGAGCAAGTAAGAAGCAAAAATTACTTTAGCTTCATTCCTAACATATGCAGTTACAGCAAAACAAAGGGGTATACAAGCTTAAGCTTTGGAGTCATATCCAGGGAAGGTTCTATCTAAGTACCTGTGGGGAAATTAATCTATAAAACAGGCATAACAGCTGCTTAGTAGGATTAGAGTGTGAATTACAACAGTAAAGAACTTGACATGTAGTAGACATATAATTCACATTAGCTATAACTCCTACTACAGCTCCATCAGAAAGGAGATTAATAACTGTAATAGATAACAGCATCAAGCACTGTGTACGACTTATAGAGTATGCCTAAAATAGCTCTAAATGCTGTATTTTAGTTCACTTAATCTTCAAAACAGCCTTAAGAAGATGGTTGTATTACCCCCATTTTACACATCAGAAACATGAAGCACAGAGAGGATAAGAAAGGAATAAACAACAGAACAAAAATCATATGTATGTTTATGAAGTATCTCAAATACGTCAAGGAGTACGTGAACTCCTGCTGCAAAACCATCAAATACTTTCTCTCACCCGTCCTCCTGGGGTTCTTTTATTCCTTCACCAAACATGTGAAGGTTTCACTCGGTATGCATAACGACAGACTAGAACAGAAGCATAGACACCAAGGGCATCAAGCTATAACATGACAAAAACTTCACCCTTCATGATCTGCTGCAGCTCCATCTGGAGGGTTTGCACAGCTCGTCCGGGATGATCTCCCGCAGTTCGTTTAATTCGGTGGATAGAAAGACGGCCATCTACCACCGCTGCAACGTCATCATCTTCAAGAAATATGACGCGGTTGGTGTGTTCTATGACAGCACTATTGAATGTTTAAGATTCAAATTAATTCTCAAAGATAATTATTACAGATCAATCTAGCACTAGGTCACAAAGATCCAAGTAAAAAACAAACTCTATCATCCTGCACTATCTCCCAATTATAAAGTATTATACATAACAATGAACTGGTAGCATCTATTAAAGTCTAATTTATTTTCAATAAATTTTACTTCATAATTTAAAGACATTTTGGTTAACTAACTCAATGGGTCATAATGATGAGTAAGTCTACGTACCTACCTGGGAAGCAGCATAGGCAGTTTGTAAGACAGAAACATAAATACGTAAAATACGTGGGGAAATAAGAGATTAATAATTGTGCAAGCTCAGAACAGGAGAAAGCCATGTTGAGGGATAAGGATGGGCTTCCTGAAAGACATTATGCTTGAAACAGCACTATGGAGAAAGTCATTACATTTACAAGAACAAGGAAATTATCTTGACCAGAACACGCTACAGTTTTGTATTAGGAGGAAGCGTACTTAGTAAAATATAACATGCTTAATTAGGTGAGTTGAATGCTGTTATTATAAAGTGTTCTCAGCTGACCTAACAGCATTCTCCTAACTTGTCCAACCTCCTAAGTCGTTCCCTCAACTTCCTTCATTTCAGCAAAAATGGATCTTATCCAAAAAGCAACTCTAAATCAACATTTCTTCCTCATCCAACAAACTACCTGATGGCTTCCCTTTGGCTCTTAGAAAAACAAAATGCCTTAATGTGACCATTATCCCTTCTCCAGCTTGATCTCCTACCAAAATCTCTTTTGTTTTATCTTTTTTATTCCAACCACATTCAAAACCATTCCAGGAGCTCATGAACTAATCCATCGTAATAGAATGAATGCTCTTCCCCCCATCTCTTCTTCTAATCAACTCCTAATTTCCCTCAGTTTAGGTAACATTCCCTTAAAGTTTACCCACAGGACAGTGAATCACCCTGTTATAGGCATTCTGTAGCTCTTGTCACAGTTGGAAGTCTACACATGTTTATATGGTTGTTGTTGTTGTTGTTGTTAAGTGCAGTTGAGTCAGTTCCAACGCATGGAGACCCTGTATAGGGTTTCCAAGGAGCCGCTGGTGAGCTTGAACTGCCGACCTTGCAGTTCAAATGACTTTGCAGTCTGGCACATTAACCCACAGCGCCACACCAGGGCTCAGTTTATGTAGTTACTGATTATAAATTCCCCATTAGACTCTGAGTTCCTTGCAGGCAAGTAATATTTATATTTTTACTCAACACTTGTCTCCTGAACCTTGCATATGGATTGGCGCAGTGTTGAATGCAAATGCATGAGAACCTGAAAAATGGCTGATGTACTTGCTTCTGCAATTTCTCATTTACTGAGCCCCTGTCAACTCAGTAACAAATCTACTTAATGACAGCCATGACACATCTTAGCACTAACTACATGTAGCTTTACATAGCTGCAAAAATGAGAAAACAGTGAAGTCCATTTTCTCACTACGATATTACATCCCCTGAAACTCTGAACTGAAGCTCGGTTTCTCATTTTTTATTCTTCATATGTCAGGCACAATGAATGACTCAAATATGTGTTAGAAATGTAGGTGGCTCCATTTTAATCTCGTTGCTACTGCTACTTCATTTACCAAAACATCTAAACATCCCACCGCATTTTCTTTCAAAATGTCTCAACCTAGTACTTTTTCCTCTAAAATAAATGATAATACTTTGAATTGCTTCTGAATTAAAGGTCGAAGTCTCCATATTAGATGGAAACCACAATGGTTCAGTGACTATACCATCACTGGTAGAATGCTAAGCCAGAGGACTTTTTCACCCTCCGGTCTAAAATCTTTTCTGCACCACAACTAGTGTAAGCCTCCTCAAAGAAAAGAACAGCAAAATACAAGAGCTCTCAGGTAAATGGACTAGAACAAGGTTCAAACTACATCTATGCTCGGTACACTGACCTATGTGTTATGTGCTTTGAATTGAGTGGAAAGATATCCTTAGGAGTCTGTCTCCAAAATGGTCACCTACATTTCTTTAATTGAAAGGAAAAATTGAATCTCCTATACAGCACAACTCAACTTATACAAAATAACTGCTTGGCTTTCTGTGGTATGAAAAATTTTATAAAACATTCTCTTTGAATCAACTAAGGAAGCTCACCTTGCATCAGAAGCAAAGTAATACTCAACTGCTTTTTCTTCAACGGGGAAAAGGCAAGTTGTGCTGTCAACACGTGAGAGATTACAGCTTCCTTTCTTGTCTTTGCCTAGAGCACAATATTTACATGAATCAACAAACATGTACAAAATCATAGCCAATAAAAAATACACATATTATCTATCAAATCAACAACAAAAACCCCATAGCAAAACAAAATAATTTCAGCAATTTTTAAATGCTAGGTAGGTATCTATTTCCATGCAATGAGCCAATGAGAACAACAGACAAAAATGTGTAGAGTGAAATAGCAACTATCAAAGAATGTGTGGCAGATAATAGCATTACACTGAAATTTGTAAATACTTCTTTTCGAGGTAAACATGAAATAATTGATTTGTTTTTGTTTTTGTTTTTTTTTTAATTTTTTAACTGTTAAATAATTAGCTTTTTTTAGTCAAAGCAAGTTATATTCATAATTTGCTGTTAAATGCCATTGAGTCAGTTCCGACCCATAGAGACCCAGTACAGGGTTTCTGAGGAGTGGCTGGTGAGTTTGAGCCACCAACCTGCACATTAACCCACAGCACCACACCAGGACTCCTTAATTTAACACTCTATAACTGAATTTAACTATGTTGTTGTTAAGTGGCGTCGAGTTGATTCCGACCCATAGCAATCCTGTAAAGGGTTTCCAAGGAGCAGGTGGTGAGCCTGAACCGCCAACCTTGCAATTCAAACAGCTGTGCAGTCTGGCGCGTTAACCCAAAGCGCCACACCAGGACTGCGGAATGTAACTGTATAATTACATACATATATAAATAATACTACATAAAACTTGAAAGGAGTTCAGTCATACGCTTGTACAGCAACACGTACAACAGAAATAACATTAAAAATATAAAAATCATGCAATGAAAAATAAAATTAAGACTAATGGCACATTCATTTTTGTTATTTCATTGCAAAAATTTCCTAGATTTAAATAGCACATCACCATAAAACGTCAAATTAGAGAGTATATTAACTCTGAATTTAAAAAAAAAATGAAACAAAGACATTATCACTCTCTAGTGGTTAGGAATCGAGCTACCAAGTGCCAAGGTCAGCAGTTTGAAACTACGGGAGGTTCTGCGGGAGAAAGATGAGGCATTCTGCTCCTGTAAAGATTTATAGCCTCGGAAACCCGTGCAGGGTCACTATGAGTTGCAACTGACTCCGCAGTAGTTAACAACAACAACCACCACCATGATATGAGGGGGCTTCAAAAAGTTTGCGAAAAATGGAATTAAAAGATAATAGCATTTACCCATGAACATCTTGAAGCCCCTTTTTATATTGTTGTTGTTGTTGTTATTAGCCGTGGAGTCGGTTCTGACTCTTAGCGATCCTGTACAGAGTTTCCGAGGCTGTAAATCTTTACGGGAGCAGAAAGCCTCACCTTTCTCCCGCGGAACAACTGGTAGTTTCAAACTTGCAGTTCGCAGCCCGACTCGTAACCACTACACTACCAGAGCTCCTTTTTGTATGTAGTATGTGGCAATTATTGCTATAGACTAAAAATACTCCAAACCTAGAGCAGCTCCTCTCTTATAATTAGGTTTCTTTATATTTCCTTTTGGAGTCCTGGTGTGGTATTGTGGGGCAAAGCACTGGGCTGCAAGATCAGTCTGAACTACAAGGTCAGCAGTTCAAACACCAACCACTCCTCAGAAACCCTGTACAGGGTTGTTACGAGTCGGAACCACTCAAAAGCACTTAACATATTTCTTATAAGTTGAAGACTATATATCTTTGTTAAGATGTATATCTTACTTCATTCAAAATACGACTACAGTTGACCTTATAACCTACAGGCACTTATAAAAACTCTTATTGTACTTATTCTCTACAACACCTGGCAGTAATTATAAAGACTTGGTAATCATTAGTCTTAGAAATGCTTACTCAAAGTTCTCCAACATCCTTGATTATTTGATGTGCCTTGGGCATAAAAACAACTCTTTCCATCCAAATTCAACAGCAGAAAAGATACCACACTTCAAAAAAGAAATTTAAGGGTCTGGTAAAAAGAGATGGGGATAAGATTCTTTTGATTCAATAGTAATTGTTATCATGACTAATTGCGACTGTCACAACTGTAAAGGTAGAAGTTTTGTAACAAAAACAGGGGAGTGTAGTTGATCTTGCAGACTGGAAACAGAAGACCCTAGGACAATCAAGGGAGAAGAGTGAAAGCGGAATGTGGGACCCTATCCAGAGAAGCAGCGACACCAGAGATGGAGGCAGAGATGGAGTCATAGAGGGGGCAGCAGAGGACTCTAGATTCATGGACAGAGAGGGACTAAGAGCTGGCAGCTAAGCAGCAGACTTGCAGAATGTGCCCTTTGGTGGTTTAAATTATTATATATGCCTGAGTGTTACAAAAGAAAAAAAAAAAGAGAGAGCTAAAATGAATAGAGAGAAATACTGTTAAGTGATGGTACATGGAGGGGATTATAACCATTGTAATGAAACAAAATATATGATCTGTTGAATGTGAAACTGATGATCTGCCCTGTAAACTTTCACTCAATTCACAATAAAAACTAAAAAAAAAAGTTAGATGATATTCTAGAAAAGGCAATACTACATACAGAAAGAGAAAATAGACCAGTGTTTGCTGTTTGCTAGGGACTGAGAATAGGAGGAAGGGTTGACTACAAAGAGGTAGCCAGAGAGAGATCTTTCTAGGAAGATGGGATTGTTCTGTTTCTTTATTATAGTGGTGGTTATATAACTGTTTGCTTTTGATAAAACTTGCAAAAATTGTACATCAGAGTAAATTTACTATAGAATGGTCAATCGTTTGAGATCAAAAGGGCACCATTTACCAAAGTACAAAATTCAGAAGGGTGGGAAAAGATGGAGGAATGGAAACAAGAACTACAAGGAGAAACTGGAAGAAGTGATGTCACAGTAAGGGGATTGCAGATCAAATTAAATGATTGATTTGTTGAATGTAAAATGGATGATCTGCTCCGTAAACCTTCACTCAATTCACAATGCTGTTGCTGCTGTGTGCCGTGGAGTCATAGTGATCCTGTACAGGGTTTCTGAGAGCAGCTGGTGGGTTTGATCTGCTGACTTTGCAATTACCAGTCCAGTGCTTATCCTACAGTGCCATACCAGGACTCTAATTCATAATAAATAGTTTTGAAAATGTGGATTTTATTGCATGTGGGGAAAAAATGAGCTAAAAAATTGGTAAAAGGATAGTCCAGCACTACAAACGTAAGGGGGTTTATTTTGTGGAAAAATTCTATTATCTTTTAATCCCATTTTTCCACAAACTGTTTTGGAGCTCCCTTGCATAGGTAGCTTTGTTATAAAACGTCCTAGTGGGAATGCAAGGAGCTCTGGTAGTATAGTGGTTACGAATCAGGCTGTGAAATGCAAGGTGAGCAGTTTGAAACTACCAGCTGTTCCACGGGAGAAAGATGAGGCTTTCTGCTCCGGTAAAGACTGACAGCCTCGGAAACCCTATAAGGGGTCGCTGTGAGTCGGACCCAACTCCGTGGCACACCACCACCATCAGTGGGGTTGCAGTTCATTATGTCCTTTCTCCAAATACTAACTATTTCATTCTTCAGGTAACATTTAAATGTAAAGTGTATTAAAATATTTAAAATAATTTGAGGTATTCACTGCGCATAGAAATAAAAAACAGGGTCGCTATGGGGCGGAACTGACTCGATGGGACTTAACAACAACATATGGCTTTCACTATCTACAAAATATTTTCACATATATCTACTACCTCATCTCACTTGATATTTAAATGGAACACTATATCAACCTTGTCTTACAGAGAAGCCCTGGTGGCAGACTGGGTTAAGCACTGGATTGCTAACCACAAGGTCAGCAGGTCAAACCCACCAGCCACTCTGTAGGAGAAAGACAAGACTGTCTAATCTTATCAAGACTCATAGTCTCTGAAAACCCTCCCTCACTATGAGTCAGAATACACTCCAGTGGCATTGGTAATTATGTCAATAAAGTGATCCAGAGTATTACAGAAAAACACATTTCAAACATAAGCACTAAAAAAGGAAGAATGACTCCAAATTCAAACCAAAGTCATCAAGATATTTAATCTTAATCTAAAAATAAAATATCATGCAGAAAATAAAGATCACTAATGAATTTGCATTAAATGCTAGGCTATAATTATTAAAAAAGAAAAAATGTGTGGCTACATTTTTAAAATGCCAATTATTTAAACTATGTAGCCACACTTTTAATAACCCCAGCAGTTATCTTTATTCCACACGATTCTAACACATAGAAGAAAAAAAGTGTTTTAATCTCAACTACTATCTGAAATCTCAAAGATTTTAAGGAAACAAATTATTGAAAGCAATTTTCTAAATGCCAAAAGCACACAGACAAAATATACTCTGCAAATTAGAAAAACAATATCAAACTATGCTTCCCCATAAAATAAGCACAATTTTAGAGGCTCAGCACATTCATTCACTCCAAGAACAAGGAATTAGTATAGATTGAACAAAAGAAGGTAAGATTCCTCCCCATCCATGCAGAGTGCATTTCCCACCTCTTTCTCCCTGTGATCCCCACCGTGTGAATTTTGATCCAATCTGAGTCCTAGCTAAGGATATACAACAGAAAAAAAAGTCTACTAGTCAAAGAAATCACAATAGCAAATCCTTTTCATGACTACACAGAACTATATAAATGTAGATCTGACCAATGGGGCAGTTAATCAAATTTAAAGAAAGCAATGCTTTCTATCTACTGTACTTAATTTATGAAATTTCCCCTGTAGCATGCTATAAGAATAGTTCTTACCTGTTCTGTAAAGTATTGGAATATGATCAGTTGAGAGCTTATGTTCACTTCGTACGCCAATCAACAGAGGGCTACCCCTCCTATAAGAACAAAATTAGTCAGACTTGTGCAGATATAAAATTTTAATTTAATGAGCCAATACTCTTCAAATAATGTTTAAAAATCGCCCTTCAGCTCTACTCTTGAAATAACAAAGTACATAAACAGAACTGACATCAAAATTCTGCACCAGGTTCACAAATTAGGGGCAATTATGCTATTTTTGTAAATAAAATTTTATTACAACATAGCCATGCCTACTCAATTACAAATCGTCTATGGTTGTTTCCAACCTATGGCCCACAAATTCTGAAATATTTACTAGCTGACCCTTTACAAAAAGTTTACCAATGGGCCTTTAAAGAGTTTGTAGAAAAATTAAGACAGTGGAACTTTTCCATGAACTTTTTGAAGCTCCTTCATGTTTCAGATTGTTCTCCTTTTTAATGTTAACTGCAACCTTTTGTTCATACACAGAATTATGATATATGAAGGTTTAGCTCCTTCTTAGTTATTCTGCCAGTGGACTGTTACTGTTCTAAAAAAGGGCTTTATGATCAGGCTCAAATATTACAGTCAATGTAGTGATTGTGCAATTACCTAGGAACCTACTGACTGATTAGTTTAATTGACTACTCTCCTTTCTGTGGAAACACTAGTTTTGTCTCTATTTACAATTCAATTTAACATTATTTTACTCCATATAAATTTGAGCCTTGAATTAGTAACATATTCCCAGCTCCTTCATATGAACATTAGACAGGAAACAAATGCATTTCTCAAAAATTCTAGAGGATTTTTTGACCAAAAATTATAAAACTTGCAACCCAGATGTTTCAACACAGAATTATCAGTGATTATTAACTTTTTATGTACCTTGTTACAACTGCTTGCCCTGGAAAATGAACACTTTTAAATACAAGTGCAAAGGCACCTTCCTACAGAGGAAAAAAAAGGCATTTGTCATATTTATTGTAATGAATTATCAAATGAGTAATGTCACAAACACACTGAACTCAAAATAGAAATACTGGTTCACACACTGCTCTTCTGCACTTGTTTATTAACAAATCTAGTATGTCCAATAGAGGATAGCCTCCCAAAATAAATCATTTTAAAAGTACTTGTGTACGTGCTATTCTCGATATTTCTTAATAGATTTTTTGAAATTTTGATAATAGCCAGACTGCAAAGCCAATTGAGCTGAAAGGTCAGTGGTTCTAGGTCACCAGCTGCTCCTCGGAAACCCTATACAGAGTCGCTATATGAGTCGGAAACAACTAGACGGCACTTAATACAACAACAATTATCAAAATTCTTAACAGATACATTATCTCTCCCCAATACAGGGAAGGCAGAATTTTAAAATATCCCAAGTTCAAAATCAAAATTTATTGTCTAGCCTATTAATTGTACAGCACTGACCACTTCCATTCTTTTGACCTTGGTATTGAGGATATAAACACATATTGACTCACACACCATACCAACTCCTCAAGGATAGGCCCTAAGGAACTAAGGAAGAGATCAAGAAGGAACATGAGGTAGCAAAGGTAAGGGACCACCACAAACACAAACTGGATTACACAATGAGTAGAAGGAGAAAGCCTGGGAGGCACATACTCAGCTTGGGTCAAAGGAAGAAACAAGCCTCTATGCTCTCCATCATCAGTGACTCCTCCTTTAGCTGCAGGCTTCATAAGATTTGGGTGAAGGTAGGAGGTGAGGGCTGCATCTTAGCAGAAGTTAAGGGTTTTATTCAAAATGCAAAGACTATACACTTTGATGAACTTGATCGACACCTATGGATGCAGTAGCTCGTAAGAGGGAACAAATCTTTACAGCGAGGATCATTCCCACCCTCTCCATACACAGAGTAGACAGGGATGGGCAACTTGGACACTGGCTACCCAAAATGGGGGGGGGGGTGCCTACAAAGGCAAGAAATGACTGGCTACAAGCTTTCATGAGGGAACCTAGATCCAGAGGGTGTGGAAGAAGGTAGAATCTCCACTGAATAGTATCCAATCTGTCTATGCGGGGCTGATGAAATGAAATGTGGATAGGTCTCTTGTGATACAATAGTGAATAATTGTTATCAAGACTGATGGTGAGGGTTGTAAATATAAAGGTAGACATTTTGTAGCAAGGAGGGGAGTGATTAACTTTTCAGTCTAGGAGTGGAGATCCCTGGGACCATCAAGGGAGAAGAGCAGAGAGTGGGACCCTACCCAGAGAAGCAGTGATCCCTGAGCTGGAGGAAGAGATGATGACGTGGAGAGATGGAGCAGTTGGGGACTCTACACCCAGAGAGGGAGAGGGGCTGTGTGCTGACGACCGGGGGGACAGGCTTGCAGGGCATACCCTTTGGTTGGTTGATGGTGCATGGAGGGGATTATAACCATGGCAATGAAACAATATATGATAGGATGAATGTAAAACTAATGTTCTCCCATGTAAACTATCACATAATTCACAGTAAAACATTTTTTTTTTAATGCAAAGACTAGAGAGATGAGGAGGGAGATGTGGCTATCACTGTGGCCTTGGACTGTTGTGGTCCTCTGATCACTTTACTATTTAGGGCAACAGGGATGAGGTCAGAAAGAATATTGTTTTTCTTTTGGACTGGGAAGTGACTTTTCTGTAGAGGTAAAGGGACAAGAAAAAGTCCCCATGGCAGGCTGGCAGGGTACACCCTTTGGTTGGTTGATGATGCATGGAGGGGACTGTAACCATGGCAATGAGACGATATACAATAGGACGAATGTAAAACTAATGTTCTCCCATGTAAACTATCACATAATTCACAATAAAACATTAAAAAAAGAAAGAAAAAGTCCCCATGAAGAAAACTAAAGAGTTGACTAAACTGTCTCAGAGACACACAGACATCCTACAATAAAGAGTAGCTTTCTCTGAAGCTACACTTGTGCCATGGTATTGGCTTAGAACAGACAATCAAGTAAGCAGGAAGCAAGAGAAAGAAATCTCTGACATGCATACTGTGTACATGTTTGCATGTGCTATGTATGTGCTAGTGTACACGCACCACTTTTACACAAACTGTTGACTACTTTTTTACTTCCCATGGCAACAAACCATAGTAAGTTGTATTCTGGGGTGGAGAAGAGAGAAATAATAAAATAGTTTCTCAAGTCAAACTGAATAGTGTATCCTCAAAAACCCACTGCTGTGGAATTGATTCCAACTCATAGCAACTTTACAGGACAAAGCAAAACTGCTCCATAGGATTCCAAGACTACACATCTTTGTGAAAACAGACAGTTGCATCTTTCTCTTGAAGGGAAGCTTGTGAGTTTGAACTGGCAAGCTATCAGTTAGCAGCCCACAGCTTACCTCACACCAGAACTCCTTGAACAGTGTATATAACATATTTGTAAAATTTCATATATATGAAGTAAAAGTAACAAAACACAAGAAATTAGCATCATTCCTACTTTTCACACTTAACTCTAAGAAAAGTTATCCTAACTAATGTTTAGTACCAATTGTTGAATGACTCTCTCCACCAATGTAGTGAAGCTGGTATCCTGACTTTCCCGATTGTCATACATATACTTAACAAGCTTGGCAATTGTCTCTGTGTCTGTTTCAGATTCAAAGTCATAGCCTTTGCTCTCCTGTAATTAGAAAAGAAAACAACATATTTAAGGCAATCATCAAAATAAGCAAACCTTTCTCCAGAATTTTTTTTCCTCAAAAATCTCACTAAACTTATTTGACTACAGTAACACTTGCTCTAGTCAAATTAGTTATGTGACAATAATAGAATAAAATAATAAGAAATAATAAGTTAGTTATTTCTCAATGAGTTAAGCAAAACTGCATAAATCCATAAATATGGAGGAAAGCAGGAGTCAGAAAATCATTATATACCGAGATGATTCATTCTGTATATAAAATGCTAACAAAATCGTGAACACTCATTAAGATGTATTTAATTCACTTATCTTAATAAGAGAAAATAAGGAAGAATAACTTTTTCTTCACAAAATTGCTTGCATCTTAACATTTTTTGGGAAAAAAAAAATCTCACTAAACAACTTCTAGCATTTTTCTGAGAACCATACCCCATGTTCAATATTAATGTCATAATCTTAGCCCAGTAAACTAGAACTAGTGAGGCTTCTATGCAATTTAACACACACTTAGTGAAGCCCTGGTGTGGCACTGCAGGTTAATGTGCTGAACTGCAAAGTCAGTTTGAACAGCAAGGTCAGTGGTTCAAGCTCACCAGCCACTCCTCAGAAACATTTTACAGGGTCTCTATGGGTTGTAACTGACTCAACTCACTTAACAACAACAATCTAGAATTGCATAAATTTCTGTCACATATGAATAAAACACATTTTAGATAATTAAAACATAACTCACAAAACACTAATTCCGTAATGAACATATTCTTTTGAGTAATTAAATGTTAAATTTTATGTAACTAATTAATTAAAATTTAAATTGCCACATGTGAGCGTTGTTGTTAAGTGCCTTCAAGTAGGTTCCAACTAATGGCAACTCTATACAGGGTTTCCAAGAAACTGCTGGTAGGTTTGAACTGCCAATCTTGCGGTTAGCAGTCCAGCACTGATCCTACAGTGCCACACATATAAATAGTGGCTATTATATCAGACAACAATATCATCCTCAAAGAAAGAATATATTCATTTCGGAACAAGTGTTTTGAGAGTTACATTTCATTTACGTTGTTGTTGTTAAGTGCCGTAGAATAAGTTTCGACTCATAACAATCCTGGCACAAAATTTTTAAGGAGCAGCTGTGAATTTGAACTGCCAACCTTGTGGTTGATAGTCCAGGGCTGATCCTACAGCGCCACACCAGGATTTGTAAAAATTTAATTACTTCACATGTGACATACTGAAATGTATGGAAGTTAAATGTATGTTAAATTACCTAGACTCTCTCACAATTTTGGGTTTACTGTACTAGAATTCAATTCCTCAGTCACACTAGCAGAAGGCCCACATGCTTCTGTACTGTAAGGGACAGCCCTACTGTAAGGTACAGCCCTGAGTAAATATTACCAGGCAGCCTAGAGCTATAGAGGGAATTTAATTTCTCCCGATTCTAGCTATATATCCTAAAATCGTTTTTCAAAATGACAAAAGAAGGTCTTTAACAATGTAAAAGGTGTCCTCTAAAATTTCTGTTTAATTTGACCTCTAAGTCATTCATAATAAAGCTTATTATTTCCTTCACATATAAGAAACACAGAATTATTCCACTGTTAACAAAGAACAGTGCAATAAACCACCATAGCCTTGCAATTACCTTAGGAACTACCTGATCATATTTAAACATTGTTATACATCCCAACAACTAAACTCACTGTTCTCTTTAGAAGTATTCACAAAAATTTCTGTCTTTTAACATCACTTTGCTTACCAAAAACTTTTTCAAATCTTTGTAGTTGGTAATGATTCCATTGTGAATAACAATAAATTCTAAAAAAAAAGAATAGAGTACTGATTAAAAACAATTACAAGTCTGATAAACATTTTAAATGGCTATTCGAAACTACCAGCTGCTTCACGGGAGAAAGATGAGGCATTCTGCTCCTGTAAAGATTTAACAGCCTCGGAAACCCTGTACATGGTCGCTATGAGTCGGAACCGACTCCTTGGCACATAACAACAACAACAATTATATCATGAACAGATTCTCCTCAAGTCAAAAATATTTGTCTCCGATGACATGGAGAGATGAAGCTGATGTGGAAAGATGAAGCAGCTGGGGATCCTGGACTCAGGGAGGGAGAGGGACTGTGTACTGACAGCCAGGGTGTGCGCTTGTGGGGTGTGTTCTTTGGTTGTTTAAATGGTTGTATATTCCTGACTGCTTCAGTGAACATAAAAAAAACAAAAAACAAAAAAACGGGTGTGGGAGGGGGAATAATTGTCTCACAATAAAAAAGTTAAAAAAAAAAAAAATTCTGCCACATGCAAGTTTTCCAATACAAACAAGTATCCATCTGCTTTGCACTACTGAATTATTCAGCAATGCTGTTTATGTGGCGGAGCTAAAGCACAGTGCTAGGAGGTGGGTATCACAGGGAAGTAAGAGAAAACTAGGAGTCTAGAGACAACATTTTCAGTAGTGGGTACACGACTAACTCAGCATCACCATGAGAAAGTAGAACATTTATTAGGGCTGTTTTCCTCATTTGCAAACTGAAAGGATTGAATTATTGTTTTCATTTCTCTGTTCATTCAGGCCTATGAAAAAAAACATTATTGAATACAACTTTAAAGAGGCTTTTTAAAAGGATATTACCTGATTTACATTAAATGAGTTTAAGAAACAAAGTAATTTAATGAGAAAAATAGCTCTATAGTTCAATTTACTTTGAACTGTATTTTTTCATCCTGAGATCCAGAAAATTTCTAGGATGTCAGATAAGTAAACATTAAATATTCCAAAATAAAAGTCTTGGGATAATTTTAATCATTTCTGATTAACTGCTAACTCTGTAAAAGGAAAGAATAAAAAATCAAGAGCTGACAATTCTTTGCAGCCACTGATTTTATGCACAAAAACTACCAAAGTAAATTTATCACTCGCGCTATCAGGAGAGAAATCATTACGCAATCAATTTACATAGATTATGTAAATGATCCTAATATGCTATCAGGCATTCTGAGTTAACTTCAAAGGAGCTTAAATTCAACTGCATTACAAATCAAATAATAAAAAACATGTTGACTGGATTTTTAAGTAAGAGAAGATGCTATTAATTATGAAAATAAAGTTTTTAAATGTTAATTTTAGAACACAGAAAATGATAAATAGCTGACATAAAGTCTTAAATTGAAACCAAATCTTCAAAATGCAATCTAGATATTCAGAGATATCTTCAGGAATCTTTTACAACAGCCTTGTCCTTTTAAAAGGCTGCAAACATCCTAATCCAATATCATGTGAAGTACAAGAAACAAAAAGGCAGCTTTTGAATTTAAGTATAACCCTTATCTCCAAGGGGTAATATATGTGTGTGCATATATGTGTGCATACACACATACATACAAATGAGGAGGCTTCAAAAGTTCATGGAAAAATGGGATTATAAAATTATGAAATTTTCCATGAACTTTTTGAAGCCCCATCATACATAAACATACATATATACTTCTATAAGGTTGTCATCTGCCACATCATTCTCCTGCAGAGGCTAGTGGGTTTGAACCACCAACCTTCTGATTCTAAAGAGCCCAGCTCTTTAGTCACTATGCCACCAGGACTCCTGGTTGTGGTATGCCATGGAGTTAGTTCCGAATCATAGTGACCATGGTACAGGTTTTCTGAGACTGTAAATCTTTACAGGAGCAGAAAGCCTCATCCTTCTCCCTCGGAGTGGCTGGTAGATTCAAACTGCTGACCTTGAGGTTTACAGTCCAGCTCGTAACCCACGTCACTACCAGTGCTCCTTGAAGGGGTATAAACTTAACTGATGAAATACTTTAAAATGTGATTATGTACTTACTGCTTCTTACTGTTTTAAGTTTCCAGATTAAAGAAAATTAAAAGAACAAAACCATCAGAGCCTTCAGGCACCTCCCATTCTTAGTCCTTTACTATCATCCTAGAGCACACAGAATCTGTCCATACCGTTATTTTTATCCGAGCGCTGGGGATGGCTATTGACTGGGTTGGGTTCTCCATGCGTTGCCCAGCGGGTATGAGCTATTCCCAGGTGTACATCAAATTCTATATCCAAGTCCATATCTTGCTGTTCTGAAGAAGACAAAATGAAAAATAATAATATTACATTATGCTACAGAGAAAATGCTAAAAGTTATATTTAAGTATAATTATTATAACACTGTTCACCTGGAATATATGATTATTGGAATTGAAAATCAGACATATTCAAAATAGTGATTAAAAGATATAAAAGTTAATGCAGTTGAAGTATTAAAGAAAAACTGTCCTATAACAAAAAAAGGCATCTAGAGAGAGAAGGCAAATGTGACAAAATGTGAACAATTAGTAAAGCCAGATGAAGTGTAAATGGATGATAAATGTACTTAATTCTTTCTGTTTTCCTGGAGGTTTGAAATTTTTCAATGAGTTAAAAAATAAAGTATCACAATGATTTTTTTTAAACCTCAATGTTTAATCCTTGCCTTGAACACAAACCTATCATTTTAATCAGATATGTGAAGATAAATTGGATTTTCTTAATGCATACAATATTGTGACTATACTTTCTTTGGTTTTCAATGGATGTAAATATATCTAACAACATAAAATGAAATTACGAACACCTTCCAAAATCAAAAATTAGACCTAGAGAACAGAGCAAAGTGTGAAGTTATGGGGTTACTGGGATTCAACAAGGCTGGTGCTCCTTCATGTTGATAATGAAAAATTGAAAGCATCTAATCTAATCACTTTTCCCTAAAATTAACTCTTCTTGATTCTTCTAGAAAAAAATGGACAGCTCTGGTTATTAATTGACAATGTCCCCTTCCTAATTACCTAAGTATACAATTCATCTGAATAAGAAACCAGATCACAAAACCAGAATTAGGTCTGCAGTGAGAACAAACTGCTCAGGAGTCAGAAGAGGAAAGTCTGTAAACTTTAGCACATACTCTTTGTCGGGTGTATACTGGCTAATCCGAGGTCATCATAAAGCACAAATCTGACCCAAGACCACTGTTTAAAATCCTTGAATAGATTTCCATTGCTTACAAAAGTTGTTTGCAACCCAACCTGTATATATGAATGATCCTAAATCTGGGCACAAGGATTTGTAACGAGATCCTCACAATTCTAATGTAAAACCAGAAAGCCATTTTCTAACAAGATAAACCCCAACATCATTTCGTGCCATACAAGGCCTGTCACTATCTGGCTCCACCTAGCTCTCCATCCTTATTGCCAATCACTCCTCAAAGTTCTCAGTGCACTTCTACAAATAGCAGCAAACCTGTGCCAGGGACTAGAGATTCTCACCGCTCTGTCCTTATCGCTGCAGCCCCATGAAAACCTTCTAACAGCTTCCCATCACACAGAGCAAAACCTAATGTCCCTAAGAGCCGACCTGACGAGCTCTCGCCACATCTAGTCTCATCTCCAGCCACTTTCATTTACTTTAGCAGTAAGCATGCCAAGTCTACAGTCTACTAAGGGTCCTTTCATTTGGTATTCCCTCTCCCTAGAATTCTCTCCTTGAGATAATCACATGCTCTTTGTTCAATTGTAACCTCTACCACACCATGTCTTCACAACACTAATGACTAGTGGTGGTGGTTATGTGCCGTGAAGTCAGTTGCGACTCATAGCGACCCTGTACAGGGTTTCCAAGGCTGGAAATCTTTACGGGAGCAGAAAGCTTCATCTTTCTCCTGTGGAACAGCAGGTAGCTTCAAACTGCTGACCGTGAGGTTCACAGCCTGATTTGTAACCACTACACTACCAGAGCTCCTTGCACTAATGACTACCTAATGTTATATCTATGTTGGCTTACTGTCTGCCCCCTCCCCAGTAGACAGCAAACTCCATCTGGGCAGGTAATCTGTCTATCTTGTTCTGTGTTGTGTCTCCAGGGTCTAGAGCAGTGCCTGGTATAAAATAAGTACTCAGTAAATATTCATTTTATGAATGAATCCTTGCAGTACTCTGCTTTGTGGGTACTACAGTCCCCACTATATAAATAAAGACCTAAGACTCAAAGAGGCAGAGACATCTAGCAAGAAGTAGAGACAGGATTTGAACCCAGTCTGAGACGAAAAGCACAACGGTATACTGTGCTGCTGCATGACGATGGCACCTATGACAAACACTGTTATCAATCTGACTTCCCCCAGAATGTGAGTCCCACAAAAGCAGCAGCTTGTCTTATCTTCCAATGCTAAGCACTGACTAATAGCTGCACAGGGCAGATACTCAGATTTTTGTTGAAGTGCTCAATAAACCAATCAATGGATACAAACATGTATATATTCTTTCCTGGCTTATCTGTGTTCTGAATAATTAACGGTGGCCTGATAAACAACCTCTAGAAAAGTAAAGGATTACTGTTTATCACCATTTAACTTGGTCCATGCAGTAAGCACTGGACTACTAACCACAAGATCTGAAGTTCAAGCTCACCAGCTGCTCCAGGAGGAAAACGAGGCTTTCTGCTCCCAAGAAGATTTAAAACCTTGGAAACCCTACACAGGATCATTGAGTCAATCAACTAGACAGTTCTTAACAAGCGATTAATAGGTTAATCAAGCAAGGAAAACATTTCACTATTTTTTTAAGCTAAGTATAATTAAAATACTGCACCTCCCAAAGCAAATCCAGAGAATGACACCGAACTCTAAAATAAGTCCACTTCAAGTTCATGCTAACCCTGACTGCTGCCAAAGGAACACTACCTACTAAGATCCACTGCTATGACAACAAACACATTCCTCTGCCAACAAATGTTTCGTATGTTATAGAAGTTAAACATGATTTCCAATCCTTGATTCTTTCTTCTCTCTATCGTTGCCCCATTGCTGAACTCTAAATATAATCCCCACATTCAGTGTTCTCTGTCAAGCAACACTGGAGACAATCACAAAATGTGAACTGAGTCCATTTCAAATCCATACTAATTACCATACCTACTTCACTGTTGCCAATGACACATTTATCCAAGCTCTGTATTTGTTAAGCCAAGAGCTTATCTAACTCCCCAGCAGCTCTTCATATCTTTGTTATTCTCCTTAACCCCCAATCCTACCCACAGTCCCTCGTTTCCTACTTTACTTAGCCTTTCTCTCATCACCTCAAGTTGAAGTCCTAAGCCCTAGATATGTGAATGTGACTGCTTCTAAGTAAGGTTTCTTCTGTTGTGTTGAGAACATAGTCGAGGAGGGTAGGTCATAAACCTGATTCTAATTTGGTACTGTCTCCAAAGAGAGCAGCACATATAGACACATATGAAGGAAGGAAGGCAGACAGACCCCAGGTGAAGAGCTAACTAAAAGCCACCAAAAAATGCCAAGAAAACACCCAGAGCTACAAAAACTAAAAGGATCCTCCCCTAGCACCCAGTGAGTGCCTAGCTCTGCTGCTGTCCTTAATTTGGACTCCTAACCTCTAAAACAGTATGATAACAATAAATTCTTGTTCTGTCAAACCATCTGTTTGTGGTATTTTCTGACAGCTAAGACACTTCAGACTCTGTTTCACCTTTGATTCCTAAAGTATCCTAGTTCTGTAAAGACCAACCCTCTACTTGTGCTCTGACCTGAGCTGTATTCCTTTACTTAACCAGCTCACTGGCATCTTTTGGTCCAGCCCTGTGGCTACTTGCCTTCTGCATGCAAGCTCAGGTTAGACCTTTGTCGGAAGTTATCTTGCTTAGTGACAGTTCAGAAACTTTAAAATTTGCTAAGAATAATAAACTAAGTACCTGAAAACCTATACTCAAAAAGAGTAAAAAAAACTATTAACATTTAGCCATTTATTCTTCACATCTTCTTTAAAGATACTCAGCAGTTTAAACTTGAAACTTTTTGTCACTCTCTAAAACACAGCCCGTTCAAACCCTTCCTCTACTCCAAACTTGACTACATAGCTGACACCATCAAATGACAAGTCCTATGCAACTGTGTCTCAATTTCCTCATCAACAACACGGACAGGAGTCCTGGTATGGTGCTGTAGGATAAGCACTGGAATGCTAATCACAAGGTCAGTGGTTCAAACCTACCATCCACTCCTCAGAAACCTTATACAGGGTCACAATGAGTCAGAAGTGACTTGAGGCACTTAACAAAAATGAGGAATAAACAAGTTAATGCACATAGAGCAGAACAGTACCCGGGGCACAGAAAGCACAATCAGCAAGTACCCGTTATTGTAGGACAAGCACTGGACTGCTAAGCACAAGGTGGGCAGTTCAAGCCCACCAGCCAATGCTCAGAACCGTACACATGGTGGCTGAGTCACAACTGACTTCATGGCACTTAACAATTATACCAAAATCAAAAGCTAACAGTAACCTCAAATCTATCAATTCAACGTCCTTTATCAAATGTCATCCTCCTCTCCCCAACTTTTCAAAAAAAAATAGGTTACATGCATGAAACTTGCTCTAATCTTGCCAATAAAACAACCACCACCATCCAAAACCCAAACACACCCAGGGTTACCAATTTAGCCACTGAGCTTTAGATCAAATGTCCACTTATAGGTGAGGCTTCCCGTTGTACCTTGCCCCATCCTATTTCCTACTCTTCTTCCCCAAAGCAGGATCAAATTCATGCACAACCCTCCTACCCTGCCTTTAAGCCTCTATTATGCTACTATAACTCCATAAAGATAGTGTGGTCCTACATTTTTATACTTTACATAAATGGTCCTTTACTTTACATATCCTTTCCCAAGTTGCTTTTTTCAGTCAATACTAGGTTTCCAGAAATTATCCATGTTCCTAGTTGCAGAATCAGATTTAGTGTATTCCTTTCATGTACTAGATATGGTCATTCACTAGCATACAAAAGCAGTCAGGGTGGCACAGTGGTTAAAGGGATCAGCAGTGTGACCTCACCACCCTCTCCACAGGAGAAAGATGTGGCTGAGTCTGCTTTCCACACAGACAGCAGCCTTGGAAACCCCATGGGGCAGAATCAACTCAGTAGCAATGGGTTTGATTTATTCTCACCTTGACCCCAGCTATTCTGATTAAAAGGTTTTCTTTTCCCACCTTCACTGCCCAAATATATTCAGGGCTAGCTCAGTCTCTCAGCCTGTCCAGCCTGTGGCAGGTCTCCTTGACTCACACCAATCTGTTTTTTCTTTCCTATAAATCCACTCACTCCATGAATTAACTACAATTCATAAAGACTCTACATAACAGAGTAGAGTTGTTCCTTAGGGTTTCTGAGACTGTAAATCTTTATGGGCACAAACTGCTTCATCTTTCTTCCTCAGAGCAGCTAATGAGTTTAAACCTTGGCCTCTTAGTTAGCAGCCCAGCACTTAATCCATAGAATAACTAAGGGTCCTTTTCTCTGCTATGTTATTGCTTTTAAGTGCCATTGAGTTGTTTCTGACTCATAGCAACCCCATACCCTGTATGAGGCTGTGCATCTTTGTGGAAACAGAAAGCATTATGTTTTTCCCGTGGAGTGGCTGGTGGACTCAAACCATCGATCTTGTGGCTCATGGTCCAGTACTATCACACAGAGCCCCTGAGCCTACTATACTTGGCCTGATATACAGAATTTAGTCTCCACTGTATACAGAATGCATGCACTATAGTTTTTCAAGGATAGCTATTTGGGGGTCAACCTAATCCCTAGCAAATTTTACCCATAATATATACAAAGTAAGTATTAATTTTAATTTTTAAACAGTTACTGCACAGCTAAATGTATGGTTTATGTAAAAAAATTCCTAAAGCAATCATTTCCCGCTACCACCTATCCTGCTTTGCAATGATTATGACAGCATTCATTTTGAGTGGGGAAATAAAACACCTGCTAGTTCTTGGTTTTAAGTACCGTGGAGTTGGTTCCGACTCATAGTGACCCTGAAGAGTTTCTGAGACTGTAAATCTTTACGGGAGCAGAAAGCCTCATCTTTCTCCCACGGAATGGCTGGTAGTTTCAAACTGCCGACCTTGAGATTAGCAGCCCAATTAGTAACCACTATGCTACCAGAGCTCCAGGGAATACAATTTTCTTTTCCCTCAAATCAACCTATTTCCAAATTCTTGGTGTTTGTTTTTTTAAGTTTCCAGTGAAAAAATAAAATTTGCAAGCCTAAGGTTATGAACTAAATATTGACAAGTATATTCTCTTTAATAGTGCAAGTGTCTCTGGGCAATTACTCTGTACCAGGGAAGTAAGACAATAGTGAGGCAAGAACGGAACTCACCTAGCTACGTCAAACCTGCTAAAAAGTACAACCTCCAGACTGACTACACATCCAATTTCAGCACTTAATCCAAAATGAAGACAATCACAAAATGAAGATATATGAGTAAGGATATTACTAAAAATATCTTTTGTCTTATAAAAGGTGTTTCCTCAGAAACTATGGTTCTAAAGCTACTTCATTTTAGGCTAACTGAGCCTGCTCTGAATACAATGAGCCTAATTTATATTTAATTTAATTGTTGTTGCTAAGTGCCATCAAGTTATTCTGACTCATAATTACCCTGTGAGTGGAGAAGTGGTTAATGAGTTTGAACCACTGACATTGTGTTAGCAATGCGGTACTTATCCTACAGTGCCGCACCATTTTTACAGAGTAAAAATTAAAGCAGTCCTGGTAGCATAGTGGATTATGAGCTGGGCTGCTAACTACAAAGTCAGCAGTTCAAATCGACCAGCCACTTTCTGCTTCCATAAAGATTTACAGCCTCAGAAACCCTATAGAGAGTCACTGTGAGTTGGAACCAACTCAGTGGAACACAACAACCACCAATATAATTACATGAATACCTAATAATAATTCATTTTTGCTGTGATCATTTTTGAAGCAACAGGTAAGTTTTAAAACTAGTCCAGATAATATCAAAACACCCTTTTCCTCTAGTCGCTCAACTTAAAAAACTATTAATCTTAAAAGAGATGCCTGGTGGCACAGTGGTTAAGCTTTCAGCTGCTGACAAAAAGGCTAGCAGTTCAAATCTATCTATCAGTGGCTCTGCAGGAAAAAGACATGCCATTCAGCTTACTAAGATTTACAGCCTTGGAAACACTCCATGGGCAGTGCTACTCTGTTCTATAGGGTCACTATGAATTAAAATCTACTCAATAGCAATAATCTTAAAACAGGCACCAAATGTTGGAGAAATAGTTAATTTGATGTGGAAGAAGAAATTTAAAAAAGGAAAGTTTAGATAAAAATCAAACTAAATACATTACTGTGAACTTCTTCATCCAGTGCCTTGACTTTACCCTTCTTCTTAATGAGCTGGATTTTGCAGGCATTGGCTTCCCAGTCTTTGTCATTGCCTCCATCAACTCCCACACCTAAATGATCAACAGTTGGAAAAGTAAGAGAGACACTGCTCATTGCTTAGATAATTAATCACTGTGAGACAGTCTTTCATTTTAAAAATTACATTTTCAGCTAATGCATGCATTTATTTATTATTTTAACATCTGCTGAACACCTACTACCTGTCCAGAACCATGACAAAAAAATGCAACAACAACAACAAAAAAGAAATACGTTTCCTATCCTAAAATTTCTAATAAGTCTATTAGGAAGACAAGCAAAGATCATTACAGTAGAGTGCACATTATAGTACAGGTAATAATAAAAGAGCTATAGCGTTAAAGTGCCGTACAAGAGCGAGACAAAGAAGATAGGCATCCATCTCAGAAGGAAGACAAGGAGGAAGTATCAGGAAATACCTATCTTGAGAGTATACTTAAGCACCTATAAAATTTGAAAAAGTTGCAACAAAGGTACTGGAAAAGCAGTCCTAAGAAGGGAAGTAACATAATAAAAATTTTTTATGTTAAAAAAAAAAACTCTCTTTGAAAATAAGGTAGAAAATAGATTGCTATCATTTTTGTTAAGTGCTGTGTTGGGTCAGTTCTGATTCACAGTGACCCTGTATAGGATTTCCAAGATTGAAATCTTTGCAGGAGCAGAAAACCACATCCTGCAAAGCGGCTGGTGGGCTCAAACCACCAACATTGTGGTTTGCAGTATAGTGTTTATCCTACAGAGAGCCTCCATACTCCCAGAAATTGGATTGGAGGAGGAGAAACAGAAAGAGATCAATTACCAGAGGATATAGCCATAGCAAAGGAAAAGAGGAAGCGGTTGAAAGTAGGACAAATCTGGGATATTTCCTTGGCTCAAAGGACTGGCTAAATGATGACTAATAAAAGGAGCACAGATAGAACAAACTGGGGAGTAGGGGTGATGAAATGACTACTCAGTTCAATTTTGAATGGAAAGTTTAAGATATCATGATTCACGTAAAAAGAAGTATCTAGAAGGCAGATGGAACTTGGTAAATACATTTGGTTTAGAGATAGACATTGCAAGCCAGCCACCAACATATATGAGGCTGATGAAGTCAGAGTTAACTCATGAAGACACACACACAAAGAAAAAAAAATAATTAAAAAAAAAACAAAAACAAAACTCAGGGATAGGAATTAATTTCCATCCCTCGTCTGTCAGTGTGTTGTACTGAGGCAGCTAGCTTGTGATGATGGAAGCTATAACACCAGTGTTTTAAATACCAGCAGGGTCACCCATAGTGGATAGATTTCAGAAGATCTTTCAGACTAAGACAGACTAGGAAAAAGGTGAGGCAGACTACTACTTCTCAGCAGTAAGACACTGAAAACCTTATGAAAAGCAGCAGAACACTGTCAGGTATAGTGTTGGAAGTTGAGCCCCGCAGGTTGGAAGGCAATCAAAATATAATTAGGAAACAGATGTCTGCTCAAAATAGAGTTGACCTGGTGTGGCACCATAGAATAAGCACTCAACCTCAAGGTCAGTTTGAACTGCAAGGTCGGAGGTTCAAACTCAAGTCGCTCCTTGGTTACCCTATACATGGTTGCTATAAGTCAGAACTGACTCAATGGCACTTAACAACAACAACAACATATTGACATGAATGGAGTAAAGCTTATGAGACCTTCATTTGCAAATGCAGCACAACTCAAATGAGAAGAAACAGCTACAAAAATTCACTAATCATTGGAACATGGAATGTGTAGAGTATAAATCTAGGAAAATTGGAAGCTGTCACACATGAAAAGGGACGCATGAAGATCGATATCCTAGGCATCAGTGAGCTGAAATGGTACTGGACATTTTGAAACAGACAATCATATGTTTTACTATGCCACAAAGGACAAACTGAAGATTAATCATCAAAAAGAACATTTCAAGATCCCTCTTGAAAGTACAATGCTAATCTACAATAGGATAATATCCGTATGACTACAAGGAAGACCGGTTAATACCACTATTATTAAAATTTACACACCAACCACTAAAGCCAGTGATGAGGAAACTAAAGAACTCCATCAACTTCTTCAGTATGAAATTAATCAAACATGCAATCATGATGCATTGGTAATTACTGGTGAGCGGCATGCAAAAGTTGGATGGAAGTTGGAAAATAGCCCTTGGTGACAGAAATTATGCTGGAAATCATCTGCTATAAAATTTTGTAAGACCAATGACTTATTCACCGCAAATATGTTTCTTAAGCAGTATAAACAGTGACTACATACATGGACCTCACCAGATGGAATACACAATAATCAAACTGACTACATCTGTCAAAAGAGACAGTGGAAAAGCTCAGTATCATCAGCCAAAACAAGACCAGGGGCCAACTGTGGAACAAACCATCAGTTACTCAAATGTAAGTTCAGAATGAAGTTGAAGAAAATGAAAATAACTGCATGAGAACTAAAATATGACATTGAGTTATATTTCATCAGAATTGAGAAACCATATCAAGAACAGATGTGCATTATAATAACCAAAGACTAGAAGAGTTGTGGGATGACATCAAGACCATACAAGAAGTAAGCAAAAGATCATTAAAAAGGCAGGAAAGGAAGAAAAAACCAAAAATGGATGCCAGAAGAGACTCCGAACCTTGCTCTTAAGCATAGAGAAGCTAAAGTAACCGGAAGAAATGAGGAAGTAAAAGAGCTGAACAGAAAATTTCAAAGGGCAGCCGAGAAGACAAAGTCAAATACTATAACAAAATGTGCAAAGCCTAGAGTCAGAAACACAAAAAGGAAGAATACACTCTGCATTTTTCAAGCTAAAAAACAAAAAAAAAATCCAAGCCTCAACTTGCAATATTGAAGGATGCTATGGGCATTAGGCAAATCTGCTGCACAAGACCTTTTTAAAGTGTTGAAGAGGAAAGATGTCAGCTTGAGGACTAAGGTGCACCTGATCCAAGCCACGGTACTTTCAATAACCTCATATATATGCGAAAGCTGGACAGTGAGTAAAGAAGAGCATAGAAGAAGTGCAGCCAGAGTGCTCCTTGGAGGCCAGGATGGCCAAACTTTGCCTCTCATACTTCGGACATATTGTCAGGAGGGACCAGTCGCTGGAAAAGGATATCATGTTTGGTAAGGTGGAGAGTCAGAGAAAAAGAGGAAGACCCCAAGCGAGCTGGATTGGCAAAATGGCAGCATCTATGGGCTCAAGCATGACAACAACTGTGAGGGTGGCCCAGGATCGGCAGTGTTTCGTTCTGTTGTACATAGGGTCACAATGAGTTGGTACCAACTCGATGGCACCTAACAACAACAACAACAACAATGGGCAAAATACTGAATGACACTGGAAATATCACACGATGGAAGCAATACACAGTCACTGTAACATAAAGAACTGGATGATTGTCAATAATTTTAAGAGGTAACATATGATGTGCATAGTCTTGCTGGTGATGACGGTGGTCACCAATAAGAGGAAATGAGGGAAAAACAGCAATGAAGTTGTGAGCTAAGTCAGACCACGTTCAATAGACTCCTGTGAACCTGGGTGGAGACCTGGTTGACCAGCAGTATGGCAAGACCTTGGGACTCCTGGGTCCAGAGACAGGGACATGGCCACAGAGGACTAGAGTGGAGAGTGAAGCGTCCAACTGATATAAAGTGAGGGGAGATGCACAAGAACACTCATACTTGCAGATAGTACCCACTTGACCTGGATTCAATGGCTGGATAATCAGAACTCAACTAGAGGAAAAAAGAAGAAGTAAAAAAAGAGTAATCCACTACAGTTTGACGAACTTGACCTATACTTATAGATGCAGTAGCTCAAAAGAGGGAACAAATATTTACAGCAAGGATCATTCCCATCCCCTTGGTAGGCAGGGTTGACAGGAATGGGCAACTTGGACACTGGCTACCCAAAATGGGGAGCGGGAGGTGGGGGGTAGCTACAAAGGCAAGAAGTGACTGGCTTACAAGCTTTCAAGCAGGAGCCTAGTTCCAGAGAGTGTGGGGAAGGTAGAATCTCCAATGAGTGGTTTCCAACCTGTCTGGATGGGGCTGATGAAAGGAGATGGGGATAAGACACTTGTGGTTCAAAGTGAATAATTGCTATCAGGACTGACTTTGAGTGTTGCAAATGTAAAGGTAAACGTTTTGTAACGAAAGAAGGGGAGTGCTTGATCTTGCAGTCCAGGTGCAGAGGACCCTGAGACCATCAAGGGAGAAGAGTGGAGTACGGGACCCTATCCAGAGAAACAGTGACACCAAAGATGGAGACAGAAACAATGACATGGAGCGATCGAGCGACTGGGGACTCTGGATTCAGGGAGGAAAAGGGGCTGTGTGCTGACGGCCAGGGGGCAGGCTTGCGGGGTGTACCCTTTGGTTGTTTGATGATGCATGGAGGGGACTGTAATCATTGCAATGAAACAAAATACAATAGGATGAATGCAAAGCTAGCTAATGTTCTCCCATGTACACTATCACTTAATTCACAATAAAAACTTAAGGAAAAAAAAAAAGGAGGTAGCATGTGATCAAGAACTGATGATAATGAAGAAAGAAGTCCAAGTGGCACTGCAGGCACTGACAAAAAACAAGCCTCCAGGAATTGACAGAATACACATTGAAATCTCTCAACAAGCTGATGCAACACTGGAGGTTCTCATTGACAGTCTGGAAGACAGTTACCTGGCCAACTGATTGGAATATTTTGCTACGTGTAGCCATTCCAAAGGCAAATGACTCAACGGAAATCAAGTAAAATTTTGCTGAAGATAATTCAAAAACAATTGCAACAAGTACATCAACTGAGAAGTGCCAGAAATTCAAGTAGGATTCAGAGAGGACATGGAACCATGGATATCAATGATGATGTCAGATGGATCTTGGCTGAAAGCAGAGAATAACAGAAAGATGGTTACTTGTGCTTTTTTTACTGTGTTGTTGTTGTTAAGTGCTGTGGAGTCAGTTCCAACCCACAGCGACCCTGTGAGCTTGAACCACTGACCTTGTAGTTCCACAGTCCAGTGCTGATCCTACAACACTACACCAGAAGTCAATGTTAAAAAGTGTAGAAAAGAGTGACAGAACAGGCCTGAGAGTGCTATCTTAGAAAGGCCTGCTTGGCAAGATGAGCCCTTTGCTCGTGTCTGCCAATTGGATTTCAGTGGGATTCCCAACACTCTAAATGACTGTGAGGGTGCAAACAATGTGATACATGCTGAACATCTGCTTTCCTTCTATAGTGTGTTAGAAAGAGGTGCCTACGTGTCTAGCCCCATTAAAAACAATGGACACCGAGTTGCTAATGGGCCTCCCATGCATACAGTACTTCACATATGTTGCCGTAGCTCATTGCTGGTGCATTAAGCACATCATATGTGACTCCACTAGGGGAAGATTCTTGGAAGTGTGCGCTCGGTTTCTTCTAGGCTTTATTCCGTATGCCTTTTCCCTCAGCTGATCTCGCTTTGTACCATCTACAGTAATAACTCACAGCTGTGAGTAAAACTATATGCAGACTCATCTAGTCCTTCTACCAACTCACCAAACCTGGAGGTGGCCATGGGACTCCCCAACACAGTTAAAGAAAGGAGCACAAGAAGAACATAAAGTTGGCAGAAACTTATTTCTTATTTACCATTTAGTTAAGATTTTAAGGAAGTTTATATATCAAAAGCATGGAATCCATGGAGAAAAACATACAGGAAAGAAAAATAATCATCTATAGTGGAAGGATCTCAAGAGCTTTGCTCTGCCATGAAAATGCCTGATGATTTATGTTTTTATAGAAACACTTGTAATAAAGAATAAAATCTTCAGAATACTTGTTGAAGTTACATAAATGAATCCTTTAAACATGCTAAAAGACAAAAACTCTTCAGACTTTAGAATTACTAGAAACAATAAAACAAGTATTACTAAAGAATCTAACTTGTCACCTTAAAAAAAAAAATCTATTTAGACTCAAGAACCACGTAAAACAAGTAATATTTTTTAAAAGGACATACCAGCAGAATCATATCCTCTGTACTCCAATCTTTGAAGACCTTTGATTAGGGTGTCCAAAATCTCTCGTCTCGTCCGAGGCACATGGTAGTTCAAGTAAGCAAATATACCTGAAAATGAAGAAATACTTAATGAAAACTTCTGATTAAACTATGAAAATACAAATCCTCACTGACATAATTATGTCCAGGGTACAAAAAATATGAGGCTGAACTCTTTTAAGAAGAAAGAAACCCTCACTTCAAATTGCTTACATGTAGTGAAATTCCTTCAAAGAAGCTTAGTTTTTAGTAAAGTCTAGTGTAATAAAAATTAATCAGTCTACAAACATATGGCTTATGTCCTAGCAACTCAGCATTATGTTCACAAGCAAGTATTTTCTGAAATAAAGGTGCTCAGGTGGTGTGGCACTGTCAAATAAGGACTGGACTAAGAATCACAAGGTCGGAGGTTCAAATCCACCAGCTGCTCCTCGGAAACCCTATAGAGTCAGAACTGACTCGAAAGCACTTGACAACAACAGTTGGCACGAGCGGTTTGAAATTGGCTGCTAAACAAAAGGCTGGCTCTGCCATAGAAAGGCCTGACGACTGGCTTCTGTAAAAATTACAAAAGAACAGGGCAGCTCGACTTGTGACACATGGGGTCACTATGGATGACTTCGAGTCAACTCAAAGGCAGTTAACAGTTTCTGAAACAGGTATTTTAAACATTGATTGTTGTTAAAGTGCCATCAAGTCAGTTCTGACCCAGTGTCCCTGTATAGAGTTTCTGAGGAGAAGTTGATGAACTTAAATCGCCAACCTTGCGGTTCAAATCGACTTTGCAGTCCAGCACATTAACCCACAGCGCCATGTCAGGTACCCCATAAAATCATACAAATGAACTAATTTTCTTTCTTTCCAATGATCATCAATAACCTTTGGAAATAAATAGCTTACAAATATTAAATGATGCAAAGAATGCTCAAAATTTAAAGATTTTAATATGAAAAAATTTACTAAAGAGGTATACATATAACCATGCTTAAAGAAAAAGGGTCATTTGAAGACATCTACAGTGTCCTCCGAGTTCTGGTGTGGCACTGTGGGTATCATAATGCGCTGGACTGCACAGTTGGTTTAAACTGCATACTGAAGGCTGTGGTCTATGATCGTCATCAAGCTCACCAGCTGCTCCTCGGAAACCTTATACAGGGTCGCTATGGGTTAGAACCGACTCGACAGCACTTAACAACTGTTGATATCAACAGTCTCCTCCAGCTTGGTGTTCTAAGATTCTTTTCTGATTACTTTAAAACCACTAATAGAGCTTCCGGTTTGCCAGGGCGGCCAGGTGGTGCTTGGACCGGACTGCAGAGCGCTTTGAACTGCAAGATCG